CTTAAAAAGGATTATCAAAGCAGCTGTTCATCAGTTCAAACAATTTAACTAATTCCTCAGTTTTCCACTGTAAGTAGCACAATATATCAGTATATTTTACAGAAATTAAACAGGTCAGGAATAACCATTAATAGGTGGATTATACCTCAACTCAGGTATAATCCACCATTTGACATACATTTGTATAATGAGATACGCCAATTGAGGTATAATGCAGTTTTTATCCCAACAATTTGTTAAGAGATATTGGAGCATCTTTTTGTATTTACCATTATATATATATATATATTTATTCAAGATAAAAAGGCATGAATTTGACAGATACAAAATATTACAAAGACACAGATATAGCACTAGACATATTTTATAGACACTAAAATGATATACATGTTTACTAAAAATTTCAATTTAAGAAATAAAAAATAAAATTATGATAATTTTCATGATATTTTGATAATATGATTAGACTAGATTAAATAATGAGTGAAATTTAACTTGACTAGATTTTCACTGTAGCCTAATATCTTAGGATGACCCACGAAAGTTAGTAAAACTTATTTCCAGTGGGGTCCTTTTATAACGAGACTTCCAGTTTACACCAAGGGTTGACACATAGAAAATACAAGCACAAATCATTTAGAATTTATCACAGATAAATGGTCAAAGCCCCAGTATAATTAATAAAAAACAAATTCACTATTAAAGACTGATTTAAATTTATCCATCAATAATTTTTCCACTTGTACTTTAAAATTATATTTTTTAGAGCAACTTTTAATCATGTCTGGTAACGAATTCCAGTCTTTTATTCCATTATAAAAGAAAGTGGTGGATTCACACCCTTTAATTCCTGGTATATAAAAGTTTTTACTACTAGATCTTGTATTGAAAGATGTTTCATTTTTAACAAAATTAGTATGTAAATAATTTGGGCATATAATGTTAAAAATGTTAAAAATATGATTGAGTCTTAGTTGTTTGACTCTATTACTAATATTTAAAAAGCCCAATTTCTTAAATTCAATACATGTCACACTCTTTCTGGGATGTAATTGCAGAATAAATCTCACAATCTTATTTTGTGCCACTTGGAGTTTATTCTTCATTTGTTTTGATATACCTTCATACCAGCATGCACATGCATAGTCACAATGACATTCAATCAGGGAAGAGCACAATGTTTTCCTAGATTGAAAATTTAGACACTCTTTGTTTCTATATAAAAATTTAAGCCTTTGATTGACTTTTTTCACTATAGAGTTGACAATAAAATCACCAGTTAGAAACTGATCAATTATTATTCCCAAATATTTTACAAAAGTTTTGGATTCAATATTAATACCATTACAGGAGATAGCGAAATCACCCGGTATTAAAGACCGAAGTTTTCGACCAGGACCAAAAATTATACTCTCTGTCTTTCCCAAATGTAAGGACAATTTATTGTCAGTTAACCAATCATGGCATGATTCCAGCATTCTGGATAATTTATGCGAGATGACCCCAGGGTCTATATGGGAAAATAAAATTGCAGTATCATCTGCATATATCAAAACTTTACAATCTGAGATGATGCTAGTTTGAACATCATTGACATAGATCAAAAACAAAAGTGGACCCAGTAAGCTATCTTGAGGGACACCACATGTAATATTACACACTTCTGAAATCACCCCATTTACACTTACAACCTGTTTTCTGTTTGTTAAATATGACTCAAACCAAGGTATAGATCTAACCCCAATTACTTCTAATTTGTCACATAATATCTTGTGATTTACTGTGTCAAATGCCTTCTGTAGGTATAATAGGACCATGCCTGTAAAAAGACCTTTGGCTTTTTGAGCTTTAATGTAATCTATCAAGTGAATGAGACAAGAATCAGTTGAATATGAACTTCTAAATCCTGATTGAAACTCAAATAATAAATTATTTGAAATCAAAAATTTTTCAAGTTGCTTATATGCAGCTTTTTCTAGAATTTTAGAAACAATACTTAAAATGCTAACAGGCCTGTAATTTTCAGGCTTAATTAAGTCTGTCATTTTTCTTAAATAGGGGCTTGACCTTAGCCATTTTCAGATTGTCAGGTACCGTACCTTCAGAGATAGATAAATTTATCAAGAAAGTAATGGGTATTTTCAGAATTGGGGCTGCATCCTTAAGAAACCTTGCTGGAATACCATCTAGGCCCATGCTCTTACTTATATTTAAACTGCATAGTTCTTTATACACAAATTCCTCTGTTACATGCTTTAGGTTAAAAAAAATATCTGATTTCCTTCTCTGAACATAAAAGGATCTAACAATATTTGTAGTGGCACTATATAAACCCTTTGCAGTTAGTAGTTTTTCTACCAGTTTTGCAGCTATAGTTGTAAAAAACTTGTTAAAATTATTTGATATTTTTTTGTTATCGTGACAGTTTTGCCCATCGATATTTAGTACTATATTAGGATTTGATTTAGGATCTTTTTGATATCCTAAATTTTTTAAACTTTTCCAAAAATGTTTTGGGTTATTTCTACTTTCTTCAATTTCACTGCTGTAATAGTCAGATTTTGCATGATCTTTGAACATGATTTCTAAGTTTACTAAACTTTTTGAAATCTTCAGGATTTTTAGAAGTCTTAAAATCAGATAAAAATTTGTCTCTATGCTGAATATCTATCAAAATTTCAGCTGACATCGATGGTTCTGTTCTTTGTTTAATACAAACTTCTTTAAGAGGGGCAACACTGTCAAGAATATCCATAAAAATTTCTTTAAAAAATGACCAGGCCTAATTTTTGTCTGAGGCACTGAAACACCTTTCCCATTTTGCTTTAGTAAGCTTAGCTATAAATTCATCTTTATTATAAGATTTCACAGATCTGACTTTAACATTACTGTGCTTATTATATACAGATTTTGCTAATTTTCTAGTACAATATACCATACAATGATCACTAAAACCAATATTTAGTACACCAGACTGAGAGATTTTCTCTGTATTATTACATAAAATATGATCTATTACAAATGCTGTAAATTCTGTTATTCTTGTTGGCTCTTTAATAATTTGACTTAAATTAAACAATTTTAAAAGCTCATTAAAAGATTTATACAGTGATCCACTCTGATCTTTAAAACATATGTTCAAATCACCAAGTAATATAATTTCACAATCCTCTCTTAGCTGAGACAAAAAATTTTCAAATTTCTCAACAAAATTACAATTTTGAGGGGGTCGATAACAAGTCCCAACAAAAACAGGTTTAGATTTTGGTAATAATAATTCAATACACAAAAATTCATCATTATTGTTTACTTCGTCCAAATTTATTGTTGTAAACGCAAGATTTTCTTTAATGTACATACACACACCACCTCCACATCTGTTACGGTCTTTTCTGAGGATAGTGTGTCCAGGGATGTTAGCCTCTGTATTGGTTATCATTTCATTAAACCAGGTCTCGGTTACAGATATCACTGCTGCTTTTGTTTTAAACGCAATAGTTTGTAGCTCAGGAATTTTTGTAAGTAACGAGCGGGCATTCAGGTGAATAAAGTGCATTCCCTTCTGGAAACATTTAAAGACTTCATCAGAATGTAAATTGTCATTTTTTGGAGCTTCGGTAGAACTCACCGACTCTGGTTCACAATTGTTACCATCGTGTTGATATTGGTCATCATCCTCGAAAAAAGAGTCTGAGAAATTTGGCAATTGACATTTCGAACAATACCATTCATCATCACTTTGAGATAGGATGTTGTATGATGTTACCGTGATATTCATGCATTTAATGTGGAACCATAGATCACATTGGTCACAAATTATTGCTTTCTGGTTGGAACGAACAGACTTTGTACAGCTGCCGCATGGGTATTTCACTGGGCCAGGATTGGAAGCTATGTCACCACATACCAAAATGTTTGTAAGAGAAAAAAGTGCTATTCCATTTCGGGCATGGAGGCCGCCATTTTTAAATTTTCGTAAGTTGTTTTGCATCAGATAATTTTCAACTGATAAGTCATTAATTTTCAAATATTCTATGTTCGTACTGGCATAATATCCTAGATCTTCAGCTTTAACAAGTACTTGCTCATATTAATATAAAGAGTTTTCTTCTATTAAATCTTATTTTTGTTTTCAAATCTCTTCCTGACCATTACAACTAACAAATTTTAAAGTTGGAACTGATGCAGACATAAAGGAAACCAATTGTCATGATTGTGAATATCCACCAATTTTCGCAAAACGCAGCACATAAAATCAGAAGCAATTACATGTCAACAATGAGAACTCGTCAAAGCTTAAGATAGTATATGCAAAAAGATGCTTGAATATCTCTTTAAAAAATATTGTGATAAAAACTGCATTATACCTCAATTGGTCTATCTCACTATATGTCAATTGGTGGATTATACCTGAATTGAGGTATAATCCACCAATTAATGGTTATTCCTGACCTGTTAAATGTATACATGGTATACTAGTCCAAATAATTATGACGGCTAATGCCTAGGAATGGTATACATAGTATACTATAGTCTAGATCAGAAGCAGTTTATATGAAAAAAAGAATTTTATATCTGTAGACTCGACCAAAATAAGTGCTAGTCACTACCTTCCCACTTCCAGCAGGACCCATCACTAATTGTCCATATCGTGGCATTTCTTATTCAGGTGCAATACAATGTAGGTTGGTTCCCTCCGTAAAATATCCAGTATGCCTTCGCAATGCTTCGGAATATACAAATATTGTCAAGAATTTCAATAACGGCCGGGTACCAGTCTAAATACAATGACAAGTGTTAATCTTTTTTCGGTTATTTGTTAAACCTGTTGTCGCTTGCGGCACATCAAAATAATGTAATTTTACGTGTGTATATATCTCTTTTTAATATTTTATTGTTATAAAAAATCCTTTTTGGTACATTTATAAAGGACATTTTTTATATAGATGAAATATATTTGGATGCATTCCTTTAAATCTTATAGATTATTTTTTGTTGTTGTTTGCAGCGGCCTCTCAAGGAAGTGATTGGGGTGTAACAGAAACATTGAAGAAGAAAAATGCCAGTAATTTATTTGCTATTATATCATTTAGGACACTTTTTCATGAATTAAGTTTATATTTACTCACATGTATTCTGTTATCATAACATAGTATGCAGATTACACAGAAGTGCACATATTTTGTGATTACTCTTAAAAATTGATATCTAACCAGTTGAGTCCTGAGTAAACAACCAGGAAGCAAACAAAATAAGACTTTTACATTCTGGAATATTTTGTTTAATTAGAATATCCCACAACTGTTCATTAATCAATATCTGTAAATTGGTTTTTGTGAAATCATTTATTTTTCTAGCATTCCACAGGGTCTTGTATGAATCATTGAATGGCAAAACCCCTACATTTTTTGGAGAAAAAATTCCCAAACGATCTCAAAACTTCAAACAGAAATAAATCCGGAAGTTATCCTTACTGAAACTACACCCTTCAATTTGAAGTTGAAAAGGCAGTAAATCCTTATCCCATTCAGGATTCTAAATAAGTGGTCACATGCTTGCCTGTGGCCACTAAATTTCACGACGGGCCAGTAGATTTTTAGGCATATCTGCCCACTGGGCTACTTCATTTTCAGAAGAAGTTTCACTGAAAATTGTGCAAATTATATTTTTCACCTATATTATTCATGACAGAGATGTTCTTTTTGATCAACCGCTAGCTTTATGCCGAAAATTGTCAACAAGTAATATGTAAAACCAAATAAAAACATATCTGACTAACAATGATAACTTTGACGAATGGCCGCGCTTAAAAAAACGGAAATGTAGATATGTGCAATACCAGATCAGTTTGTGGAAGCGGATAAGGCTAATTGTGGGTTTGCCAATCAAAAAACAAATAGATAATTAAAAAAATTTCCGCAGTTGACAAAACACAGCTATTTAATTTTAACTCCAGATTTGAAAAGTCCATAGGATATACATGATATATGACAAAGAAAGACGAATCAGGAATTTTTTTTATACTGAAACTCAAAGATCATGAAGACATTTTAGATAATACCGAATTAGACTATTTACCGGATTTGTAATAACATAAGCAACACGATGGGTGCCACATGTGGAGCAGGATCTGCTTACCCTTCAAGAACACCTGAGATCACCCTGTTTTTGGTGGGGTTCGTGTTGCTTAGTCTTTAGTTTTCTATGTTGTGTCATCTGTACTTTTATTTGTCTGTTTGTCTTTTTATTTTTGGCCATGGCGTTGTCAGTTTGTTTTCGATCTGTGAGTTTGACTGTCCCTCTGGTATCTTTCGCCCCTCTGTTTTAAGCCCACAAATTTGCATGTAAAAATCCAATAAAATTCTTTATCACTAAAATATTTTGATATTGGATGTTTTTATAATGTAAACACATTACTACAGATCTAGGAGGTTATTTTTCTCAATTTTGAAGGGCTAGTAAAAATTTGGAAAGACTTGTGAAATTAGAAAGTGTTAGCCCACTTATCTAGTTAAAAAAAAAGTCCCAATATTTCTATCCTATGACTCATGTGCGCTTTAAGAATTCTAGTATTTGATACCAAAATAAAGTATTTTTAAACTTCTTTCTGTTTTTGTATATAAAATGAGTTCGCACAAGAGCAAATACTGTGTTAAGAAATAAAAAAAATCTAATGGCAACAAATCCAGAAAAATGGTAGTATATTTGTTGTTTTCCCAATTTCATTGAAAATCGCTTAAAAAATTCCAAAAACTACCCAGTGTCCTTTTTCCAAAATACCCAGAAAAACCCCTGGAAATGTAGCTATGAAACCGTCCTATTAAAATAAATTTTTTTGTATTTGCGACCCATAGAGCTATGGATTATTCCTATGTAAACATTTTGATTTATGACCCAGTTTTTGGTCATAATAATTTACATAAATTTGATTATTTACTGACCTTGCAAAGCTTGTCAATTTATGTATTTCAATTCATGAGATATTTTTCTATGTCATTACATTCCTGTTTATGTTTGAATATTCATTTCCTAGGCTAGGTGACATTTGAATTTTCAAGAACAAATGACTAATCAGAAAACATGTGTTAAATAAAAAGAAAAAATATTTGCATTACTTTTTGAATGAAAGTATGTTACATGTATATTAATTATTTTTACAAACAGAAATATTATTTCTCCCCAACTCTGCTGAAATTTCGTTTAAATATTGTTCCAAAATCTGAAACAAACAAGATTTAATTCTGTCCATTTACCCAATGAAATATCTGTTGCATTTTTCTCCAGAAGTACAAATATGAGCTTCCTGAAACTTGGTATCTGGCTTCATATGAGCATTCTATACTGTAAGATGGGTTTTTACATTCATCAGTCATCAAATTCCTATTTACAGAATACTTATGTAACTTGTTGTACATGCATTGAGCATTCTGTACATTGTGTAATCATATTCAGGTCCATTGCTCTTCAACTTCCTGTTACATGTAACTAATATTCTTACAGTAGGGGTATCAATACTGAGCAATAGCTAACAGTTCAAGATCAACTTGTTGGGCTAGCGAGGACACTGCCAGTAGATTACCTGTAGTTACAGGGTGCATCTTTGAAAAATGTATGTTAAAAAACACTGTGTTTTTGTATTTTACAGGCTTATCACTCACAGTTTACAAACCCTCCTAAACTGATAGGAAATGTAGCATTGGTGCCACTTAGAACAAGTTACAAAGGACCAGCACCAAAAGACAGTAAGTATTAAAACATAAGAGTGCAAATTTGTAAAAGTTTATATTTTTAAGAAGACATTATCAAATATTGACTTATTTCGCTACATGGATATTTTGCATTCTGGGGTTGACAAAATTGTATATTTTCATCAAAACTCCAATTCTAGGTTTTATTCAGTTTAAATATGAATTCATCTGCTAACTCTAAGATTCATAGATTTTATAGTTTTTCTTTTCCATTTACTTCAAGAAAACAAGTAACCCACAGAAAAAATAATTTAAGGTTACAGATGTCATCACTGACTTTTTCTGGAAATTTGACTGAGGGTTGATAGGTTGATAATATTTGTTACATTATTAAGGTAGTTCTATGGACTCAAATTGATGGTGACAAATACAGATATTAAATGATTGGTATAAACCTTTACTAATATTAGAAAACTTTATATAGAAATGAAATTAACTTGCATTGAAATTTCATTTGCAAGAAAACCTCTAATTATCATGTCTTACATGTATTGTTTAAAAATATTATTAACTGATAGAAATAGACTTTTGATAAAATTAAAACATTTGAAGATTTGACATACAATGTATGAAGGCAGGTATCTCATAATTCTTTAATTTATATTAAAACTGTGAGTTAACAATTTCTTGTAGCAAGACAACAAGCTTGGCGACTGTGACCCCACACTTCTTTTTACTTTCTTGAAGTTTGGGCGAAAACTTTATATTAAAATTCTACTTTCTAGTTTTCTTTCAGTTTACATAATTGTAATTTTTCTCCTGTGTAATCCTTATGAGATAGAATCATTTTTATACGCCCGTTTACGGGACGTATTATGGTATACCTCTGTCCGTCCGTCCGTCTGTCCGTCGTCAACATGTCAGACATTAACTCAAAAATGCTTTCACCAATTTGCATAAAACTTTGGTGAATTATTTATATCTATTGACGTGAGCTCCCTTTCGTTTTTTATAAAATTTAGATTTTACGTTTCCAAGTTGTGGGGTTTTATTCATTATAAAAAGGGGGATATTCCAGTTTTCGGACAATAAGTCAAGAATGCTTTCACCAACTTGCAAGAAATTGTGATGAATTGTTTATATCTATTGACATAAGCTCCCTTTCGATTTTTATAAATTTTAGATTTTACATTTCCGAGTTACAGGGTTTTATTCATAGAAAAGGGGGGATTTTCCAGTTTTCAGACAAAAACTCAAAAATGCTTTCAGCAATTCTTATGAAACTTTGGTGAATTGTTTGTATGTATTGATGTAAGCTCCTTTTAGAATTTTATAAATTTTACATTTTACATTTCTGAGTTATGGGGTTTTATTCATTAAAAAAAGGGGGGATTTTCCAGTTTTCGGACAATAACTCAAAAATGCTGTCACCAATTCTCAGGAAACTTTGGTGAATTGTTTATATCTATTGATGTAAGCTCCCTTTTTATATTCATAAATTTCTAATATGACATTGAGAATTAATTGAACTTTATTTGTTTATAGTCTGACAACAGATATACTAAGTATTGCACAACAGCAAGAAATCTCTAATTGAATATAAATTCAATTCATATAACCAATTTCAAGTTCTTTGACTACATTTATTCAGAAACCTATAATATGTCAAATATTTAATTACAATCCAAATTCAGACCTGAATCAAGCTTGAATATTGTGTCCATTTTTGCCCCAATTGTTCAGGGTTGGACCTCTGCGGGCGTATCTAGCTGCGCTCAGAGAAGCAGTTTATTGTACTACCTGACCTATAGATTGAATACAATCTTTTTTTATCTAGTGTAATGTAATTATGGTCATATAAACTACATTTTGGCCAACTTTAAACAATGTTAAAACAAGTCTTTAGTTGGTTTTTTTTTCATACCCCAAACTTTTGAATATATAAGTCAGTCTTCATAGAGCTGAATTCTTTTCAACAATGCAATCCTACATATATATGATTCAAATAATAATATAAAAGTACATTTGTATTATCAAAATAAGTATTACTTGAACTTACCTAATTAGACAAGATAAGTAAAAAACTTTTATACTTTGCATTAATGCCATTGCCACCACATGAAACAAAATATAGAATGGATATCCTTAAAGTTTTCCCAAAGCAGCTTCTTGATATATGATTTAAATACTGGTAAAAACATCCTTTGAGTTGCAAATTTAGTAATTTTACATACATTATAGATTTCAGACATAAGAAGATTTACAAAATAAATAAATTGAATGCTGTATTCATCTGTTTGTTTATTTTAGGTGGTGAATCAGATATTATAGATGAAGCTATTTTTTATTTCAAGGCCAATATATTTTTCAGAAATTATGAAATCAAGGTGAGAATTGTTAAACAAATTTAATAAGATTGTTTGCTTATAAAACTAGATAAATGTTTTTAAGATGAAGCACTAATGGTAAGACAATGATATTTGGTATCCAGTTGTATAAGCCTTTGGGCTAATTATTTCCACAGATATTACAGTATATGAGCCTGCACCTTCAATCAGGGTTCATTGACTTTGAAACTTTTGCTAAGTTTAAATGTTAACATTTGTGATAAGGTCATTTTAAGTTGACGGACTTATGATAAGACAATGATATTAACTAACATGTAGGTGTTAAATATCAAATCGTTTATTTCCTTCGTAATTGCATGACATTTCAAAAGTTTAATGTGTGATAAGCCCCCTTTTTTTCCCCTAGAATTCAGCAATAGAAAAGTGTAATAAATTGGTCATATAACATCCTTCACATGTTTACAAGACAGGTTAAAGCTTCTAAGACATCTTTATTTATTTTTTAATTGCATCTAAAAACCGCCAGAGAGCTCTTCCTTTTTATATGTAAAAATGCCTTATTTTTAGTAAGACAAGCTCATATCTAATTTTGCCAAACAAATCTTTATGAAAAGGGCCATTATACATTTATAGATCAAGCCAATCTTGAAAGTTTAGTATTTCTTTCCAATTGACTTTTTAATAATAAAAGTTTCTACTAGAACTGAATGTTATAGATGACATGTTTAGAATATTCATAAGTATAGCTATTATATTGTCTCACCTTGACTGAGTCAAAAAGTGTGACATAGGTCATGTAGGTATGCTGTTTCTGGCGTCAGTGGTTGCAGCGTCAACAATGTATTAGTTTGTGATTAGGTCTAGTTTATGGTGAACCACAAGTGGTAGGTCAATGATATTTGGTATGCAGTTGTATCAGCAATAGCACATCTCATTTCCATGGAGATTATTTGACCCCTCCCACTCAGTCATGGTCTATTGACTTTGAAAATTTTGCTTAGTTTACATGTATTAGTTTGTGATTAGGTCAGTTTATGGGGAACCACTAGTGGTAGGTCAATGATATTTGTTATGCAGTTGTATAAGCATTGGCATATCTCATTTCTATGGAGATTATTTGGCTCTGCCCCCTTAGTCATGGTCTATTGACATTGAAAATTTTGCTTAGTTTACATGTATTAGTTCGTGATTAGGTCAATTCAAGGGGAACCATTAGTGGTAGGCCAATGTTAATTGGTATTCAGTTGTATAAGAATTAGCACATCTCATTTCCATGGAGAATATTTGGCCCCACCCCCTCAGTCATGGTCTATTTATTGACTTTGAAACTTTTGCTTAGTTTACATGTATTAGTTTGTGATTAGATCAGTTTAAGATGAACTGCTTATGTTAAGTCAATGATATTTTATATGCAAATTTATTGGCATTTCATTATCAAAATTGCAAAAAGCTGAGACATATCTCTTAGATAACAGTTTATTATCAAGATTCAGCAAAATTTTATTATAAGAAAACATGTAAAACAAATTAGTTGTTATTGTTGAAGGCTCTAACATGGTTTTTCATGTGTTCTCATGAACAATTAACCAATTTTGCCTTCTTTTCATACTTTTTAGAGTGAAGCCGATAGAACACTTATTTACATAACTATGTATGTAACAGAATGTTTGAAGAAAATGCAAAGAGTAAGTCATTTAAACATTTATTTACAAAACTCTGAATATAACAGAATGTCCATGATGTCTGGAGAAAACACAAATAATAAGTCGTTAAGCATTTATTTACACAATTCAGACTATAACAGAATGTCTGAAGAAAACACAACACAACCAGACAATAGATAGGTTTTGATTTACACAATTTGAGCAAGAGTTACTTCCTTTTTGATGCCATGTTGAAGGTACAATACAATATACCAGACAATGGATAGGTTTTGATTGACACAATTTGAGCAAGAGTTACTTCCTTTTTGATGCCATGTTGAAGGTACAATACAATATACCAGACAATGGATAGGTTTTGATTGACACAATTTGAGCAAGAGTAACTTCCTTTTTGATGCCATGTTGAAGGTACAATACAATATACCAGACAATAGATAGGTTTTGATTGACACAATTTGAGCAAGAGTTACTTCCTTTTTGTCACCATGTTGAAGGTACAATACAAAATACCAGACAATAGATAGGTTTTGATTGACACAATTTGAGCAAGAGTTACTTCCTTTTTGTCGCCATGTTGAAGGTACAATACAAAATACCAGACAATAGATAGGTTTTGATTGACACAATTTGAGCAAGAGTTACTTCCTTTTTGTCGCCATGTTGAAGGTACAATACAAAATACCAGACAATAGATAGGTTTTGATTGACACAATTTGAGCAAGAGTTACTTCCCTTTTGATGCCATGTTGAAGGTATAATGTGCACAAATTCCATCATAAATCAGCCAAATTCATCTTCTTATACTGTCAGACAGCTAGACTTTAGAAAAAGTTTTTTCTAAACAATTTTAATTTCTTGAAGCCTTGCTTGATTTATCACTACGATCTAGTAAGGATCTTTTATCAGACATGTTTGTACCACATGTTTCAATTTGGTTAGTCAAATTATAGGAAAATCAACCATTTGTCCCTTGAAAATGGTGGCCAAGGGAAATAACTCCACATCAAATTATGTCATATCGAAACCTATCTATAACTACATATCAATAGAAAAGGCAAATATTGAATAAAAAGATAAAAATAAATTATAAAAACTAAACTCATATATACGTTTGATTCTCCTTGTCTGGAACTCAGTTGACTCAAAATTTTACATGAGTCAACCATACATATGTAAGACCAAATAATGGCTATTCAAGGATAAAATTTGAGGGCTCTTTTTGTTAAAGCCCTTTAAGGCCCACACATTTATTTAGAAAAAAATTGATTTTGTGAAAACAGTTCTGAACACTATCACCCGTGTATTATCATGAAAAGTGTTTTCCAACTATATTTATTTCTGTCGTAGCCTTAATATCTAAATGATAAACCATTAGCGTATGTTCCACAACTCTTATTCATTCTCATAGCCATTTTTAAACGAAGTTTGGGAAGACTTATTGTTTTTGCTCAGTTCTTATTATTATTATTATTCCTCTTCCTCTTCCGCCACTTTTAAATTTGAACTTGTCAGCACCCGTTCTCCAAAACCTCTTGTCAGATTAACTTAGGGTTTCACAATATGTAAGACTAACATGTCTAGTGGTTCAATCAGGGTCTTGTTTGTGCAATAGGGTTTATAAAGGGGTACTTTGAGGGGCAAACAGAAAGGAGGATTTTACTATAGAACCCTATGGGTTTTTATTTTTTAAAATTTTCAAATGATTATAAATTGAAAACCGTTTGTGATAGACACAATCTTTTTAATTGAAAATGTTCTAAATGATAAAGCACATTAAATGAAATACAGGGTTAGTCCCCAGGGGTCACCCCCACCCCCTGCCATTTAAGAAAGTTCTAATACCTTGTAAGTGGTCAAGATCCCCACCCCTAAACTATATATATTCTGGTTTGTCATGCTAAGATGGTTTGAATGATATACAGGGTTAGTCCCCAGGGGTCATCCTGACCCCCTGCCATTTGAGAAAGTTCTAATATCTTGTAAATGGTCGAGATCCCCACCCCTTAACCATATATATTCTGGTTTGTCATTATAAGGCAAATCAAATGAAATACAGGGTTAGTCCCCAGGGGTCACCCCCACCCCCTGCCATTTGAGAAAGTTCTAATATCTTGTAAATGGTCGAGATCCCCACCCCTAAACCATATATATTCTGGTTTGTCATGCAAAGATGGTTTGAATGATATACAGGGTTAGTCCCCAGGGGGTTATCCCCCACCCCCTGCCATTTGAGAAAGTTCTAATATCTTGTAAATGGTCAAGATCCCCACCCCTAAACCAAATATGTTCCTGTTCGTCATGTCTTGAACATTTGAATGACGTATAGGGTCAGTCCCCAGGGGTTCCCCCACCCCTAATGTTCTAATCTTGTAAATGGTCGAGATCCCCACCCCTAAACCATATATATTCCTGTTCGTCATGTCTCGAACATTTTAATGACGTATAGGGTCAGTCCCCAGGGGTTCCCCCCACCCCCAATGTTCTAATATCTTGTAAATGATCGAGATCCCCACCCCTAAACCATATATATTTCTGTTCATCATGTCTCAACATTTGAATGAAGTATAGGGTCAGTCCCCAGGGGTTCCCCCCACCCCCAATGTTCTAGTATCTTGTAAGTGGTCGAGATCCCCACCCCTAAACCATATATATTCTGGTTTGTCGTGCCAAGATGATTTGAATGATATACAGGGTTAGTCCCCAGGCATCACTAATGCATATAACTTTACCAAACAAATTTTCACTGGACTTTGCCCAATGTCAGACGACCCTGGGAATTACGAATTATGGGAGCTTCGTTTGGGAGACTTCGTAACAGCATCCTGTTACAATCATTTCTTGTTTTATTAACTGTTACCTTTACAGTTAAGTTTTTTTGCAAAAATAATAAGAAAAATTATGTTTGCATTATCATAATCGACTTGAAAACTTTACAACATGAAAATATTTAGTCATGTTTTCCTTGTGTAACTTGACATTAAGTTTTACAGGTCTTTCACAGTATGAAATATGATATGCATAGAATAAATTGTTAATTATGCTAATAGGAACCATTGAAAGCTTTAAAAATATTAAATGTCAAATCTTTCAGTAGGGATTGTAAGAGAACAAATACATTCAGAAAAGGAAACAAATTCTCACAATTCTCTTGGTGCAAATAAAGTCAGCATTTGAAACAGATGTTATTGAATGTTGTATGATTCAAATTTATCAAAAAAATCTTGACTTTTTATATTGTTTTAATAATTATATAATTAAAGTCATATATATGCAATGAGTTTCTTGTAATTATATTGTTAAGGAAATTGTTGACCAAAGCATGCTATATACTAAACTATGTTCTCTATGCACATTCTTTTAGATTTATTAATACTAATCCATAACATATAATTGGCAAACAATATTTCATTCGGTGATTGTTGATCCAAAAACTTTGGCTTCTAATTAATTTTCCAATTTTGGTGCCGAAGATTACCTTATTAAACAATCCACACATAAACATTTAAAAACAGAAACAGTTAGATAAGTGAGATGATAGAGCGATGTTTATATTTTTTTTCTATATTTTCCATGCATTCCCATTTTTTAATTAAACTTTGTCTTAACAAAGATGATAATGATTTGGTCTAAAAAGATTTTCTTTCAAAACCAATTAATAATTATAAATACCTTCAACTTTGGTTACCCTTCCTTTCATCAAGGGTTTTCCCTTGCACTTGCGTTGTGAGTTTGCCAAATTTCTGACAAGAGGTGTAATGGTTAAGGTGTATGTACAATGTATCTGCATACAGAAAAGCTGTCTTTGAATTAGAGTATGGGAAGACAATAATTTACTAGCAGTACATTTCTGAAGATTTTGTGAAATAAACAATTATCTTTTAAACGAAAGTCTATGTACAAATGTTTTATAGTAAAACTTAGCCAATCCAGTATTTAAAACATAGTCATCTTTTTTTTTTAATTTGAAGGATCATATGACTTTGACTAATTATCATGGCTTTGAAATAACAACTGTGTTTTATGTATTTATAGTGTAATTCCAAAAATGATGCACAGAAAGAAATGTATACTCTAGCATTAAAGAATTTCCCCATTCCAGGGGAAAGTGGTTTTCCATTAAATGCAATGTTTGCAAAACCTAAAAGTAGAGCTGAAGAAGGTAGGTAAACAGATCATGTTATATTTTTGCGTGTTACCTGTTTATGCACACAGTGGTAAAAATGAACAGTATTTTTCTTCTACAAATTGAGCAGATAAAAGTCATTCAGTACACACTGGACATTAAGCCAGCAACAATTTGAATCAATCAGTCAACCATTAGGTACTTTATAGTTTTATTTAGTTGTCTCTGTTTATTTCTATCAGAATGTCTAAACTCAGGATGTATATTTGTTATTTATAATGTGGAGGTCAGTATGCCAATGAGAAGACTTTAATTATTTCTTGTCATGGAATCGATGAAGACATGTAAGGGTATTTTTCTTTCATTGTTCATCCAAAGATACCCAATTTGATACAATATCTCTATTGTTTTTGTCTTGCTGCGACGAAAGTCACGGAAAGCGAGACATAGGGATTGCTTTTCCGGCGATGGAGTCAACAATTGTTCAGTTTTCTGCTTAAGTTAGTTTGATAGGAACTACTTGTTATAGATCATTGATATTTAATGTAAAGTTGCATTACTATCAGTACATATCAGTTTGACGACTATTTCAAGGCCTGTCCCCTAGGTCATGGTACAGCGACTTTGAATTAATTAGCAATTTTCAATGATAGTTTTCTGCTTACGTTAGTTTGATAGGAACTACTTGTGATAGATCAATGATTTTTCATATAAAGTGGTTGACGACTATTTCGAGGCAATACCCCTTAGGTCAAAGTCCAGAGACTTTGAATTAATTAGCAATTTTCAGTGCTAAGTTTTCTGTATAAGTTAGTTTGATAAGATCTACTTGTGATAGATTAATGATACTTTGTATGAAGTTGCATTACTATCAGTTCATATCAGTTTGACAACTATTTCAAGGCCCTGCCCCCCTAGGTTATGGTCCAGTGACTTTAAATTAATAAGCAATTTTCAATGTTAAGTTTTCTGCTTAAGTCAGTTTGATAAGAACTTCTTGTGATAGATCAATGATATTTTGTATAAAGTTGCATTACTATCAGTACATATCAGTTTGACTATTATTTTCAGTCCCTGCCCACTAGATAATGGTCCAGTGACTGAATTAATAAGCCATGTTGCTGTCCATCAGATCGTCTTTTTCTGAATTTTATGCCGACAGGCGAGACATATCTCTGTTTCAAGTTTATTTTATTGTATTTTGCATGAAGACATGATTCACCAACAGCTTTATTCAGAAAAGAATATTAAACACAAACAATACATTTTAACATTTTATTTTAGTATTGTATTTTAACATCTCAACTTATTACAGATACCATGAGGAACTACTTCTTACAGATTAGACAAGAAACAGGATTAAGGATGTGTGAAAAAGTATTTGATACAGATAAACCTAGCAAGGTACTTCATTATCTGTAAAATACAAAACAAAAAATAATTGGAGGGTTGTTCATTACTATTAGTTGTCATGAACAAAATAAAAATAATGAGATGATTGGCAATTAGACTTTCCACCAGAAACCAAAAGACATGAATGTAAGCAACTACAGGTTACTGTACAGCCTTCAACAATGAGCAAACCAATACTGTATAGTAAGCTATAAAAGGCCCTGCATGGAAAACTGTGAAATAGTTCATTCAAGAAAAAAACAATGGACTGGTGTCCAAGAGTTTATTTGTATAGGGAACTTGTAGAAAATATAAGAGAAAGAGAGTTTGATATGATTGCATATGTATCTTTTGCGAAGTAGACATAATTAACCTCTATGTTATGATCTGCTATTTATTCTTTACCTCTTTATGACTTTATTATTATAGTATGTTATGGAAAAAATAAGCTTACAATTTCTTTATCAACTAAAATCATCTTCATGATTTGCCTTAGAAAAAATGTAAAATAGGTACCCAATGATAATTTTATGTTATTTAAAAGTCAATAAATATGGCGATGATATATCTTAAAGATTTTTGGAAACATTGTATCCCATATGTCTATAAATGCTTTTTAAAACATTTAAATTTATTTTGTCATGCAATATGGTAATTTTTATGGAAAAATATAAGATTTTCATTTATTTGACCACTTAGTCATTGATTGGAATAAGTTAACCACAATGGTTGAAAAATGGCAAGTTATCAGTCATTCTATAAGTGAGACTTTTGATAAGTTATGTTAAGTAGCAATGAATATGTCAATATAATACTAGTTAAAATATTGACTGTTTTTTATCAGTGATTTTCAATTATTAGTTAAAATAAGCCACTCCCTCAAAGTAACCTCCACTATAGTATCAGCAGCTCTTTCACATATAATCTTACTAGTAAAAAAACTTGTAAGTCATGTACATTTCAGTTTAAATTTGCTCTTTCGAAGTAAATAGGACCAATCACTCAGAATCCAAGACAAAGGACTAGACGCAGATATATAAACCATGAGACGACTGGATGCAAAGCAATATTAAATAATTAATGCTAAGAAATGATTAAAGCGAATTAAACTAAAACATTTAATTTTGGCAAATTATTACAATTTCATATGAAAAAACAATAATAGACGTTAAAGTTAATTCAATCAATGTCAACAATCAACCAATTGTCGACAACACTTTGCTCACATGTCTATATCCAGCGGGTGACAATAAATCTGAAATTCACACGTCTGAATCCATTGCGAATTTATCCGAATCAAAATTATCAGTTATAAACTATGTTGCTCCATCGTCCCCTCATCACTCAATTACATTGTAAATTCGTCTCTATTCACAGTAGAAAAACAACAAAGAACATACGATGAAAAATAAAACTTCCACAGAAAATGAGACTGAAACTACGGATCATAAATATTGGGAGGGATAAATAATGGGAGGGTTAGTTTTCGGCAATCAACGGCAGAATGAAAAACTTTAATTTCTTTAAATCACAAGTCTATAAAGGAACCAATCAAAATTCGTTGTTATGATATAACATTCATAACAGGTTGTATCATTAGCTAAATGTATAGAACCGAAATAATTCGAACAGTATAAAGTCTATTTCTTAAATCTCTAGTCGCCAATTATATATTTTTAATTAATTAAAAACAGCATGTTTATGATCATTTTCATCGTGATATTTTTTTGTGAAATGAGTCGCAAATGCTTAAAAGAAACCAAACTGTTACAAATGTTTTGTTAATGATGTGAAATTTACCTTGAAATAACATTATCATTGTCAACAATCTTGTTTGTTGCTGATTTTATTTTCATAGCCAGTTCACAAATATTTTCCTATCAAATGTACAGAATCCTTTTTATTATCATACAGTATTGAATGATCAAGCATGTCAACATTTTCAAATTTCTAGATTCTATGGATTTATTATATTACAAAGAGAACTAACTCATCTCTGATTTAAGTTTTGATTCAGAGTTGTAAATTATGAACATAATGCTTAATCAATTTTCATAGAATTTTTTGAAAACTTTTGATTATGCAAAAATTCTTTAAATACTGCCATCTCAAAACATATTTACTGGGGTTAGGATCGCTATAAGTTAATTTTTTTCATAGAAATGATAGCAAGAATTCAGACCTTTAAAATTGCTAATTTTCTGCAATTTTGACTGTTTGTGTTTATTGAAATGACATGTGGATTTAATTTTTTTTCAGTGGTGGTTATGCTTTGCCAAGAGAAAGTTCATGGACAAAAGTTTATCAGCACCTGGACAATAAGAAGACAATTATATAATAGAATGCTTTTATGTCATTTTATAAAGATTTTTTATCACCTATTGATATAAACTAAAAAATCGATTATGTCTTTTGTAAAGAACAACTTTTTCAATAAATACATGAACAGTACATTGTGAAAAGTATTATACATTGTATTGGTAAATAGTTATCAACATTGTTATTAGCAGTATTAAATAATGCATTTAAGAGGTAAATTACTGACATTTTATAGAATAAAAGTAATTGAAAGTGAGTAACTAACTTCGAAATGGTGCTTGTCAAAATTGTTAATAACATCTAACCTGTATAAATTTATTACAAATATTATCATTATATCATTCTTTAGGGATGATCTATATTGAATAGATTCCAGTTGGAAATGAAACCTTGGTTTTGATGAAATAAAATTGATATATGACTGTCATAATCAATATGGGCCATTTTTATTTTAATTTTTGGTTATTAAATGTGTGAATCCCCCAATAGAGGAGGAAAATGTTATCATACGATCCTACTAATAAAGAAAAATGTTCTTAAAATATATTGAAAGGAAATCCTGACCATGGGAACACATAATGATATGCATGTACTTGTATATGTATCACATTAATGATATTTATTATAAATAAATTTTATACAATTTGTCTTTCTTGACTGTTGTGATGAGTGTGTAATTTTATATCAGATTGAGTAGTACAATAATTCATGAGATATCAATTATTTTTAATCTATGACCAGAGTTCATACAATATTTTCCTCTTCTTTGACTTTTATGTCACAAGCTATTATATTAATCATCATTTATTTAAGTTTATAAGACCTTCACTGACAGACAAATCAGCACCACAAATTGTGTATACTCAACTATGCATGATCATATAAAATTTTGTGAAAATTTTTCTCAGTCTAAAGTAAATATACAAATTGTCTCATTGGCAATCCTACCACATCTCCTTATTTTCATAAATATTGGGAACACAAATTACATACAGAGACCCTCATGGGTAGTCAAGGTCATTAAAAAAAATACTCGTCTTCGACATGCTGTAATTGATAAATATTTTATAATACAAAGGGCAACAACTGTAGTTAAAATGAACATGTCTTACAAAAAATTGTATGTTGATAATCTATTTGTCAAATACTGGTCCATTCCTAAGAACACTCCATGAAATGATACAAACCATATACAGGTATTCATTGTATGTTTCCGAGTTTAGTGAGGCGTCCTTTTTGCTGAACTAGTATACATTGTTAAGGGGACAGCTGAAGCCAGCCCCAGAGTGCAGGATTTTCTCACTGTGTTGAAGACCCATTGGTGTCGTTGGGCTGTTTTCTGCTCTTTGGTCAGGTTGTTGTTTCTTTGACACATCCGGTTTCATTTTCAATTCTACTTTATATAAATTTCAAATTTAAATGGATTAAAATCTAAAACAAGAATGTCAATATGACAACGCCCTGCTCAGGTCGATCACATTTCCATGGTTCTGTGAATTGTTAAATCTGTGTCAAAATCCTTATTTTGGTAGATATTATATTAAGCTCATATCATTATGAACTTGTACTGTTTCAAGTAGATTGACCACAACTTCATGGTATACTGCCTGTACCAAAAACTTTCACCTGATACAGGATGGCCTAACCAATGGATGGAGGCACAGACAGAAGAAACATAATGACCCTGCTATCTTAAGCTGGGCATAGAAATCAACCATTTATTACTAATGAAACATCTTGGTTTACATGGGAAATGTTACTCTTATAAATGTAAAATTATCAAAGATCGACAAACCAATGTTTGACATACTACATTTCTGCATTCAAATGCAGCAAGAAGTTTGAAATAAACAAAAATTTAAAATACAAAATATACATGACCAACCAATGTCCATTAGCCTCTCCTAAGTCAGTAACATTGTGACTGTACTAACTGCAAGTATTAGACATGGAATTAGATCCCAGGTAGGGTCAAACCTTCAACCCAGACTTTAAAGTAAGGTTTTCTTACTTTTGCCCCAGGTACACTGCATTTAGGAAATAAGAGCTAAGATTGGTCAGAATAATATCTCTGTGAAGGATATGTTTTATCGCAAACTGTCAATACCTTGTGAGCTAGCATGTAAGAATCCAAACTCAAAGAGATGGTCTCGTACAAAGCATGTTGTCTTCATTTCATCATAAAAATATATGCATCATGATGTAATAATTGCCACTGGATGTTAAGCACCTATCTATCAATCAATTTATCAACTGACAACCATTCTCGCGTTCCCAGATACTTGACCTTACAGTTTCAAAGAAGGAACTTGAAAGTTTACCAATTTGCAAATCAGATTTGGCTCTACAATCTACAAACCATGTTTTTAATCTGATAGCAGAAAAATGTAGTTATATAGTAACTTTTCTGGCAGAGATACTGGTGTAATGGATTGGTCAAGGCTTTATTACAAATATGGTTCGGCTTATCGGAAATTAATAAGGATTGTTTCTAACTTGGCTTATTATGGAAATCTGATTGAAATCCAGATCCTGTGTCCACTCCTTGTTTACTAGGAATGTTTAACACTCCTTTCCACTTCCTGTGTGTTCATCTGTTCATCTCTTGTTATTCCACTGAGAAAGGGTTCGAATACCCAAGACTAGCTTTATCTTGCAATTATATGCTTTTCCTAGGTCAAAGCCTCACTAGTCTGTCTTTTAAAGAATTTTGTGTTGATTTAAGATCTTTTGTGATCTTAATTGCTTGCAGTAGTGTTATTCTGGTAGGGCCAGGTATCATTTACAGGGTTGTCTTAAATAAAACTGACGAGCTCTATTGGAATGTCACTGTTTTGGACATTCTGGTTGGCCCAGACATCATTTACAATGTTGCTATAAGACTGTGGACCTATATGGGATGTCACAGTTTTATACATTTTGGTTGGTCAAGACATCATTTACATGCTTGCTATCAGACTGATAGATCCTATGGGAATGACATAGTTGTGCACATTCTGGTAGGGGCAGACATCATATACATGGTTGCTATTAGACTGTGAGATCCTATGGGAATGACATAGTTGTGCACATTCTGGTAGGGGCAGACATCATATACATGGTTGCTATCAGACTGTGAGATCCTTTGGGAATGACATAGTTGTGCACATTCTGGTAGGGGCAGACATCAGTAACATGGTTGCTATTAGACTGTGAGATCCTATGGGAATGACGGTTGTGCACATTCTGGTAGGGGCAGACATCATTAATATGGTTGCTATTAGACTGTGAGATCCTATGGGAATGACATAGTTGTGCACATTCTGGTAGGGACAGACATCATATACATGGTTGCTATCAGACTGTGAGATCCTATGGGAATGACATAGTTGTGCACATTCTGGTAGGGGCAGACATCATTAATATGGTTGCTATTAGACTGTGAGATCCTATGGGAATGACATAGTTGTGCACATTCTGGTAGGGACAGACATCATATACATGGTTGCTATCAGACTGTGAGATCCTATGGGAATGACAGTTGTGCACATTCTGGTAGGGGCAGACATCATATACATGGTTGCTATTAGACTGTGAGATCCTATGGAAATGACATAGTTGTGCACATTCTGGTAGGGGCAGACATCATATACATGGTTGCTATTAGACTGTGAGATCCTATGGGAATGACAGAGTTGTGCACATTCCAGTAGGGGCAGACATCATATACATGGTTGCTATTAGACTGTGAGATCCTATGGGAATGACATAGTTGTGCACATTCTGGTAGGGGCAGACATCAGTAACATGGTTGCTATTAGACTGTGAGATCCTATGGGAATGACAGTTGTGCACATTCTGGTAGGGGCAGACATCATTAATATGGTTGCTATTAGACTGTGAGATCCTATGGGAATGACATAGTTGTGCACATTCTGGTAGGGGCAGACATCATATACATGGTTGCTATCAGACTGTGAGATCCTATGGGAATGACATAGTTGTGCACATTCTGGTAGGGGCAGACATCATATACATGGTTGCTATTAGACTGTGAGATCCTATGGAAATGACATAGTTGTGCACATTCTGGTAGGGGCAGACATCATATACATGGTTGCTATTAGACTGTGAGATCCTATGGGAATGACAGAGTTGTGCACATTCCAGTAGGGGCAGACATCATATACATGGTTGCTATTAGACTGTGAGATCCTATGGGAATGACATACTGTGGATTCATTTATTTTCGTGGGTATCAATTTTCGTGGATTGCTAAAAACTTTCATATTCGTGGATATTTGATTTCGTGGTTTTGCCAATCTCTGTATACAAAGCCTATTGAAAATATGTTATTCGTTGAACATTTGAATTCGTGGTTCACCTGTATCCACGAAACCCACGAAAATTGGTATCCAACGAATAATAATGAATCCACAGTAGTTGTGCACATTCTGGTAGGGACAGACATCATATACATGGTTGCTATTAGACTGTGAGATCCTATGGGAATGACAGAGTTGTGCACATTCCAGTAGCGGCAGACATCAGGCTATGTGGAACTATTATGGGAATGTCAAAGTTTAGAGCATTCTGTTTTGGTCCAGACATCATTTACAAGGTTGCTTCAAGACTGTGGATGCCCCTATGTGAATGCCACTGTTTCGGACATATTGGTGGGTCCAGACATCATTTACAAGTTTGCTATAAGACTGGAATCCATTGGGAATGTCACTGTTTTGGACAATCGACTTGTTCCAGACATTATTATAGGACTGCAAAAATTTTGCGGTCGTAACTTGGTATCACATCGCCGTCGTCCGAAGACACATTGGTTTCCAGACAATAACTTTTGTTTAAGTGTATGGATTTCTATGAAATTTTACCATAAGGTTTATGACCATAAAAGGAAGATTGGATTGATTTTGAGGGTTATGGTCCTAACAGTTCAGGAATTTTGGGGCCAAAATAGGGCCCAAATAAGCATTTTTCTAGTTTCCAGACAATAACTTGTGAAATGGTGTATGGATCTCTCTGAAATTATACCACAAGTTACCATATCACAAAGGGATGGTAAGAATTTGCTTTGGGGGGTTATGGCTCAAACTGTTTAGGAATTAGGGAAAAAAAGGGGAGACAACAAGGGTTTCCAGGTTAAAGGACAATTACTTAAGTACAAAGCATAATTTTAAAGCAGTGTAAGGGAGGTAATTTAAACATATTGACAAATAACTTCCCTTACACTGCTTGTAAATTATTTATAAAGACATGTATTGTCTTTAGGTGATAAGCTGTCAATTTATTTTCAGAAGTTACTATTTTAAAAATGTTAAATAAAGGTAATTTAATTATAGCCATGATTATGTATGTGAAGGAATTTTATTTTTAGATATTACTATTTAATGTTGCTGATGGAGGCTTTTTAATTTTAGGCATGATTATGATGTCATTTTCTATTTTAAAAATTATTTAATTTTAGCCATGATTATGTATGTGAAGGAATTTTTTTTTTAGATATTACTATTTAATGTTGCTGATGAAAGTGTTTTAATGGCATGATTATGATGTCATTTTCTATTTTAATACTGTTATGATGTATTTAAATGGGTTTTTATGGTTGCAAAGTCCTAGCTGTCAATTTATTTTTAGAAGTTACTTTTAAATGCTGACGAAGGAATTTTATTATTAGATATTACTATTACAAGTTGCTGATGAAGGTTTTTTAATCTAAGCCATGACTATGATGTCATTTTCTATTTTAATACTTTTATAATGTATTTAAATGGGCTTTTATGGTTAAAAAAAAGCATTTTTTCTAGTTTCCAGATAGTAACTTGTGATTAAGTGTATGGATCTCTCTAAAATTGTACTACAAGATTCCATACTACAAAGGAAAGACTGCAATTGACTTTGAAAGTTAATGCTAAAAGGGGGATTCAAAAAGTTTAGGGGGAAGGGAGGTTTCCAATTTTTTTTTAAAAGGGTTATTTTTTTTTCAAAATTTTTAAAATTTCAAATTTTTGAAAAGTTTCAAGAAGAAATCTTCAATTGCACAGTATTACGCATTAGATTTGTAAGATCTTTTACCACATTTATTTTGTGTAAGAAACCTATATTATGTCAAAAATTTGATCACAATCCAAAAATTCAGATAGCATCAAGCTTGAATATTGTGTCCAAATTTGCCCCAACTGTTCAGGGTTCGACCACTGCGGTCATATCAGGCTGCACTCAGCAAAGCATTTTATTTAAAAGGTTGCTATAGGACTATGGATCCTATGGAAATGTCACTGTTTCCGTCATTATGGTGGGGTCAGACATCATTTACCTATGGGATGTCACAGTTTTGGACATTCTGGTTGGTCCAGACATCATTTACAGGGTTGCTATAAGACTGTGGACTTCTATGTGAATGACACTCTTTTTGGACATTCTGGTTAGTCCAGACATCATTAACAAGGTTGATATAAGACTGTGGACCTATATGTGAATGCCACTCTTTATGACATTGCTTTTGGTCTACACATCATTTACAAGGTTTCTATAGATTGTAGACTCTATTGGAATGTCAGTTTAAGACAATCTGGTTGATGCAGATATCATTTACGAAATTGCTATGAGACTGTGTACCTATATTAAAAAGACTGTTGAATTTCTGAATTGTTCATCCTGAAACAATACACAAATAGAGTGTTTGTTGGTGTTTAATGCAACTTTCAGCGACCACAATCTCAGAGTTGACAAGCCAGTGATCAAGGTATATGAACTTCTTGAACTACTCCATCATCAAGTCCTCAAATACATTGAGGCTGTAAGAAGAGTTCTTAGATATTTTATTGTGTTAAGAATTATTACAGTATATAAAAATGTACAAACAACAAGATTACAACATAACTGACAACAGGGGGAAGGAATCAAACTTGTGTAGTGAGTATTATGCCTCAAACTTATTTTACTTTTCAAACATACTAATTAATTTTAACACAATTTAAAACATTTTTTTTATTTCTAGGAAATGTTTGATTAATTTGTGTGATAGAAGTCTAAAGTTGTTTTTCTTTTTGGCTTTTGAAAATGTGTATGTATCTGAAAAATATATAATTACCATAAACATAAATAGTTGGTTTCTTTCAAAAATCTTTCAAAGTGTATCTGGCATGTTATACCTATACATGACAAAACAGTCTTTTTGCAAGTTAATTCATATACACTGTTTCATACATTACATAAAGAATATATTTGCAGATATTATTATACATTTATCATGAGGCTTTCATAATAACACAGGTAAAATACATATTAATACTATAATTTTTAAAAGACCACCATCTTTGGTTCACTTGATGGCTGAATTTTAATGAATTACTGACATCCTGGATATTTATAATATAATAGATCAAATTATTCAGCAATATTTCTTGTTCATTTACATATCTATGAAATTGATCTCATTATTACACTGAATTTGAGTAAATGTTGAACTCATGTCTATGCAAAAGGCATATCTATTTACTTTTTTCTTTATAGACAACCTGACAATCTTCAAACAAAGGAACATTTTACATCTTGATCACTAAATTAATTACACAACCTCCTTACATATACAATTTTCTAATTAAATTTTGATTTATCACTTAAAGAGGATAAACTAATACTGGTATCTGTATTATGTTCAGCAAGACAAGAATAGGGAGTTGGGTGGTTACAATTCGGATCAATATCCCATATATTACATGTTTAAGTTGGACTGAGCTGCCGCTAATTAAAAGAATGAATGATTGTATTTGGAATAAAGGATAATTTTCCTGCAAAATTTTTTTTTGGGTCAGATAAGTTTTCTTTATAGTGTTAACCAGGACATAATTCTTTATTTGTGTTTAGGATACCAATTTTCTTTTAACAATTTCATTTGATGGAAATATATATGGACATTTACTTAGATAAATGCCATTTATCAGTCACCACTCAATATATACTGATACCCTGTAAATTCCTTTAATAAAACTGAATTCCATGTTTTTATTATAGCTATTTTTATTATTGGAATTGTTTGCAATATTTAACTCTGAATTTTTAGTACTGACAGTTTTACAACTTAAGAATTATAATAAAGTACAATATAATGGATGGATTCAGTTCAGCAGTTAATATTTCAAAATGGATCATGTATAGCTTTTAGATACTTTTTACTTCCCTATATCATTTGATAAGAAGACCCAACACTACTACGGGGTGTTTAACAACCTTGACTACCCATGATGGTCTCACACGGTCGGTAAAACAGTGCGATGGTATAAAGTGGCTACTCCTCAAATAATTCAAGTGATAGTAATATAAAAATAATAAGGAGATGTGGTATGATTACCAATGAGACAACTATCCACCAAAGTTCAATTGAAGTGGGTGTAAGTAATGTTTGTTTATCCATCTGGTTTTTCAGAATTCTTAAACATATGTCATATCTATTGTTTTTCTTTTTTCTTACAAAAAAAAAACATATATAGGAAGTATATTAGAATTAAATTGGTTTAGATGACACAGTATGTAGTTAATGTTCAAATGTACAAAAAAAGTGCCAACAATATTTAAAACTGTCATCTATATTTATCATAATCTAAAACTACACATCATCTTGAGTAAGCCATTTCTGTAACTGGATAACTGGACTGATGTTCAAGTTCAAGTATTGCAATTATTTCATCATGACTTTTATATTCTCTTTAGAAAGCAATTTGTAATTCAAGGTTAAAACCATGTAAAAAAATAACTTCCATAAAAGTTTTAAGAGGACTGTGGAAATGGTTTCACACGTGTAGTTATAAAAATTAATAGCATACTGACACAATTAATTTTACATGGGAAAATAAGAAAATTTATTATACAAATAGGCTGGCAGGTGAAAATAAATGCCTTGTAGCATATATACCCACCATGCATAATTTTTAACTTTTATAAATGGTATATTCAATACTGCAGTTGAATACATAGAATATATGCATGCCGTCAAGTTAGAAATTAAATTATTGATATTGCCAACCAATAATTAGCTTTTTAATAAATTATGCATATTAGAAAACAACAATGTTATGTAAAAGCAGTAAGAATTGCCTACTCAAAAACATTAATGTTAGTCTTACTTTGTCAGATTGATAAAGGCACAGTTTTTTTAATGAGTACATTTGAGTGTAAAAAAAGATAACTATTATCCCTGTCTATGGGTAATAATGATATTATGACTAGAAGGAAACCTAATAATAACACTGCAGAACTAGACAAAACATATGTATGTATTTTGACTGAAAATAAACAAAGAAACACAAAATGTGATGACTACTTAGTATCTACTGACATGAGCTACTAATAACATGATTGTTAATAATTTAAATGGTGCTAGAAACACTGGTTCACAGTACAAAAGTAGAAATATCACTATAAATGTCATAGTGAGATAAATGGTCATGTTGAATGAATAATTGGGTTGGGGCTCTATCTGCATAAGTCTGCCACTGAAATCTAAAATAGAAGACCAATTTTGAACACTTATTGCTACAGCAAGAGTTAAAACAAGTAGGTATTGACCCTCATCTCATTTTCACAACATAGTTCATGTACATTGTGAACAGGTTATATACAAATAAAACAGGTATTTCTACACAAATTGTTATAAATAGATATATACATATACATCACATTCTCATCAATGGTTTACAATCAGGCATATATAACGGTATAAACCTTTTTTTTATTATTTAGAGATCCTGTAATTACATATATATTTTGCAAGAGGTAGATAAAGTCAATAAGATATTATTTAGATTTTTTTTTAATTATTCCCCTATCCAAGAAGTAATTTATTTTTTTCATTGTGATTAAACTAAACAAAGGTAATTATGGAGAAGAGTTCATTCTTTGTTTCTTATTCTTTATTCAGGCTAAACATATGTAGATAATTGCATCAGGAAAAAATCATGTGTAAATAATTGCATCATGAAAACACATATGTAAATAATTGCATCATGAAAACTCAACTTCTGATCATGTACAGTAATTAGAGACTGTTCATGTTTGATACTATTCAAATATGTTTAAATAAAATCGATAAAATTTTCTAAAAGTAAGTCACACACAGACATGATTTACAGGTAAAAGCATTTCAATATATACTAAAACCTACAGTAAAACTTAACATACTCCATACATATGCAGAAACACCTTACAGGTTGCATATAATTTAAGATCAAGCTAATTGTTACCATTAAAATTGATAATAGTTAACATTTAAGATAGTTATTTCTTGATAAAAGTAAAATAAGTTATATACATGTAAAAGTATTGGGTCTCCTGGTTCATTTATTGAAGTCACTATAAAGAGTTTTATAACAGGACTGAAAACCAGTCTAAGCAGTAGCTCCTGGTACCTTTGATAAAATCTGAAATTAAAAAAATAACATTTTGGTTTAGTTTTAATATTTTAGATATTCGAAATGTGCATGAATGTGTTCAGTGTTTTTTTTTGTATAACACAACACAATACTGATTACTGAAATGTGCCATTCCTGTACAAAGATAATACAGTGTGTATTAAAGATTGGAATAAGTGGCAATCATATGCATTGTTGCATGGAAAACATTCTCTATAAAAAGCAACCTCAAATCCAATTAGAATTATGATAATCTGTCAAAATTCCACAGAAATGTAAAGACGGAATTTTCTCATATAATGTAATATGGGTATATTTCAGGCAAGATATGACTGTTGTGCTTTGTACTGCTCAAGCTATAGTTATCATGTATTTGTTTAACTTACCTGAGATACATAATAGAATTTTTAGGTATCTTAGTTTTGTACAATGGGATATGCATATTGTTGAAGGCCGTATGGTGACCTATAGTTGTTAAATTCTATGTCATTTGGTCTCTGGTGGAGAGTTGTACCATTGGCAACATATCACAACTTCTTATTTTTATACAACCTTTAAATTTCAATTCACTGACTTTCTCTTAAAGATTGCCTTGTATTGATATGGATTTATAATATTTTTTTTTAATGTTTTATCTACTGAGTAAGAAGACAAACCTTAGAGAGATCTACACCAGTAAGAGCCTGGACTGCAGGTGGGAGCTGACTAACCAAACGGCTGACTTCACTTGTTGTTCTATCATCTCCGACCAAAACAATCTCGTCTGTCTTCGATAATGGAGCTGATACTTCTGCAGCAACCTTAAAATAAATTTTGTAATGCAAAAAAATATTATATTGTTTGAAATTCATATAAATGTCATATCAATTTATTAATGCATTCTCATCAGAGGCACACTCAATTATGTTATCCAATGATAATATGAATACATCTTTTTAAATGTATCATTTTTCCTTTTTTTTTTTTAAAGATATTGTTAGAAGAAACTAAAATTTGTACATTTTATGAAAAAATGAATACTCCTTCAATCTAACAACAACATACTTCATTAGGGCTGTTCCATTAAAACATACATTGTACCCAGGGAAGGCACTTTGCAAACAGAGTGACCACCCATAGAAGCGATTTTAGAGTCCTGCATACATTTAAACCCGTACAATACACTATTTCATACCCATCCATAGTGGCAAATTTAAGTTGCCTTCCCTGGGCCCTATGTATGTTTTTATGGAACAGCCCTTACCATTCAACAACCCAGAAGGGGCATAAAGAGCATACATACAGAGAAAAAAAAAGATCACTTGTACTATAGATCCATACAATATAAATACATATATAACAAATTAATTTTTTAATTCTTATTGTACACCAACAATTTTGTCCTTACCTTTGGTAGTGTTTCCAAAACCAAAGACAACATGGCTGCCTCTCCGTACTGTTTGTAAGCTGAAGCTTTCAATCTCATTTTTTCAGCTTCGGCTTTTCCAACTGCTTCAATAGCTTCGGCTTCAGATGCACCTATCAATCTAATCTTCTCAGCCTCAGCTCTGGCCTGCTCAACTGTCTGTGTCCTATTTTTAAAACAAGACAATGTATTTATGTATTCAGGAAAGACAACCAATTAGCAATTTGTCATAAATGCATTGCTGTTACTAAAGAAAATTGCTAAATCAAGGTAATACAGAAATATATGAATGTGACCGCCATCTTGGATCATAAATGCAATATCTTATCTTTTGGCAATTTTTTTTGACAAATCTGCAAAAATCTTTTAAAGCAGCAAGGATTGATGAAAATTCAAACATTTTGAACTTGAATATGTCGCAGTTCTAGCATACTCAAAATAGAGGGGTGCAGCTCCCCTCTGCCCTTTGCATTTTTGTTTTCTGAAGAAATAAATACTTTTCAATGCCAAAAAATTATATTTACCTTCTAGAATATGATTTAACAACATTCCCAAAATTCATTAATTCATTTTATCCCTTTTCAGGCATGAAACCACCCTATTCATATTTAAACTGTGACTGTCTGCCCTTAGATCCTAGCTAGAACACTGAAATTGTGAGCATTTTTTTTCTCTTCAAAATCCTCTTATATCTTCCGGCTTTTCATTTTGTTAGTTCTATTTTACCTTGTTCCCTCAGCTATCAACTCTATGTTATAAGCCTTATTTTACCTTGTTCCCTCAGCTATCAACTCTATGTTATAAGCCTTATTTTACCTTGTTCCTTCAGCTATCAACTCTATGTTATAAGCCTTATTTTACCTTGTTCCCTCAGCTATCAACTCTATGTTATAAGCCTTATTTTACCTTGTTCCCTCAGCTATCAACTCCATCTTATAAGCATGTGCTTCAGCAGGTCGTTTCACAGTAGCTATCAATTCCTTCTCCTTTCTCAGAATTTCTTTTTCCTCAACATCAATTAACTTTCTTCTCTCTACGACTTCAATTTCTATTTCTTCAGCTCTGATCTTCTGTTTTTCTTTGGCTGCTTGCAGTTCATAGGCTAATTCAGCTTCAGCTTTCTGTTAATAATTTTAAAGATTTTTAAATGGTCAACTACTTATAAGGTTTTTATTTTTTCCTTAATATTGTAACCTCTTGGTTTTTTTCTAGACAATGCTTTAAAATTTTGACCAGTAATTCCTAAATTCTTCATTATTTTTTTAAGAATTACATCTCATGTGACTCCCTCTGTTTTTTTTTTTCACCTCGATTTTTAACTTCTCAATGGATTTATGAGACTGAATCATGGGTAAACTACTGTACTATTGCCACTAATTTAATGACAAAAAATAGTTTTTCAATTACCTGTGTCATAAAAACAACCACATAAGCCTATATATTTTCACCCTAATTTTCACCCTAAAAAATGTTATTCTTTTATACAAGTACAAACAAGGACTGGCTCAACAGTGCAATAATGTGTCCAGATAATGTGACAATTGAATATGTTGACTGTTACCCTTATGACCTATAGCTAGCATATTCAAAAATCCTTTCAGTGGATTGCATAGTACACAGCAAAGCTCATAATCATTCATATTAGCATGTATTCATCCTGAATATGGTTGAAACATTACCCATTAGATTTTAAAATTTTAAAACTGTTGTTTTTTCCTCTTGCTATATGTTTTTGCACATTTGTTGTATGAAGTTTGATAATGTATGACTTACTCTTGCATTGACTTCTTGATCAAAATCAGCTTTCTGCATCTTGTAATTACGTGATGCATCAGCAATCTTAGCATCAGCTGAAAATTTGGTGTCCATTTTTGTCTTGTCGCATTCTGCTTCCTGTAAATAGAAGTTGCTACTATTACAATACTAGCTAGGTAGAGTGGTTTAAAAAAGTTTTATAAGATTCAATGCCTTTGAAATCATCACACATCATCTACTTTGAAAAGAGTAGGGTGTAAGGTTTCTTGTATTATATTTTCAAAATGTTCTAGGATTTTCCAAAGAGAAATAAGGTCATTCTCTACAGGGTCTGTCAGAAAATCTCAAACATACCTAAAGCTTTTCAGAATTATCTGAGCCATACTATGATTAATTCATAATTATTTAATAGGGGACTTGTTTGCTCAAATCATTTATTTAATCAAACTAATATGATTTTATACTAACCCTGATTCCAGCATCTCTATTGGCCTCAGCAACACCAATATCAGCATCTCTCTTTACGTTAGCAGTCTGTGCTCGTCCTAATGAGGCTAAGTATTCAACATTGTCATAAATATCTTTGATTGTGAAACTCATAATTTCTATACCCATCTTACACACATCAGGAGAAGCAACTTCTCTTACAAGTTGAGCAAACTGGTCTCTGTCCTGATAGATTGCCTCTACACTAAGGGTACCTGTAAATAATTACTTTTTTCTATTAAACGTCTGATTGAAAATCTTATTACCCCCTATTGGTAATAAGAATAAAGAATTAAATGAAAAGTTTTCATCAATTTCAATTCTAATGCATTTTCTGAGACTATTTTCCAGCTTTATAAATGAATGACTGACTTTAAATGAAAAAAAAAACACATTCTTAGGATCTCATTCAAAACTGAAAAAAAATGAAAGAGACGAAAAATAAAATTGACCCAGGGGAAACCCTGCTGATGATAAATAAAGCATATCCTAATAGATAACAGTTTCATTAAAAATCTAATTTGAATAGTCATATCAACTTTGATATTGAGAAAGAAAGTTCACAAAAATAAATCTTAATATGAAAATGACATAAAAAATTCAATCTTACTAAGAATAGCCCTGAGAAAAAAATCCAATCTTACCAAGAATAGCCCTGAGATGACCTTCTAAAGTCTGCAAAATGACTCTTTCTACTTCCTTCACAGATTTCCCCAGAAACTGTTCACATGCTTTCTCTAAGAAAGATGTGTCTCTCATGACCTTGACCTGTGCTACACCGGTTACTGTAACAGGTACACCTTCAGATGTTTCTACACTTTCACAAACTGGGTTCAAGGTCATAACTTCAAGTGATATGCTGTTAAAAAAAAAATTCATATAAAAATAAGGAGATGTGGTATAATAGCCACTTAGAAAACTATCCAGAGGTAGGAAAATAGTTTTTCATTTATAGAAGTATATGACTTTTACATTTTTACTTGTAAGAGCAAAAATATATAACAATACATGTAGTTGCATCAGTCAAGTTTGCTTCCCACTTAGATTCTGTTACTGCTGATCAAATACTTTATTATGGCTAACTGAACATATCAACATGTTCAGAATCTTAATTTAATAAACAAATTCCCATCAATGAAGAAATACAGCTTTAATGATACTTAATAATATCTCTCTCAAAAGACTCATTTTCAAACTGTTTTTTTACTGTGTGTTTTAGATATACAACTTATGGTCTAGATAAACAAAGGGGGGAGTTTGTGTGCAAGTTAACTTTGCCCTGTACCAAATCTAGCTATCCAAATCATGTGTTGTTTGTTGTTGATTGTCTTTGTATGTATGTGACTGTCTGGTTTTTTTTTGGGGGGGGGGGGGGGGGTGGAGGAGAAGGTTGTGTTAGTGGTTAATGTTGTTTGTTGTACATGAACTGTTCAGTATTTTTGGTGATTCTTTTTATCCATGTATGTATCCTCCATTAACTATCATGGCTACAGGTGCTTCAAAAATTTTTGCTGTGCATGACAAAATTTTTGCTATTAAGCTAAATTGAAAGATATTGAAAAGTATTAGTAATCAATCCAATTTGTTCATTAAATCAAAGACCAGAGTAAAGTACCTAGCTATTTTTCATTATTTACATTTTTTCAAATTAAAAAGGAAGAAAGTTTGTGTATGCTCATTCAGTTGTAAACTTCTATGTCATTTGGTCTCTGTTGGAGAGTTGTCTGTTTGGCAATCATACCAATGATACCACATCTTCTTATTTTTATAAGTTGTATTTTTTTTTATTACTGCAAGAAGGGTCTCAATTGTATCAAATGTCACATGCAATGGTTTTTGTATAATATATCATATTTACTTAAAATGACATATGAAACAAATAAAAACAATAGATATCTAAGGAACCACTGTTTCAGGCTTGTAATGTTTGCCGACCTGTAATGGGTAATATGTGGTGATCCTACAGTAAAACTACATGTACAGTCAATGTCATCACCATGATCACTGTTACTTACCATAATTCTGACTTACCACTGTAGACATATCCCCAAATTTGTACTTACATGAGCAACAATGACAGGTGCCACGTGTGGAGCAGGATCTGCTTACCCTTCCCAAGCACAGAGATCACCCTGGTTTTTGGTGGGGTTTGTGTTGCTCAGTCTTTAGTTTTCTATGTTTGTCTTTGATCCTTGTACTATTTTTTTCAATCTCTTTTCCTTTTTATGATTTTCAAGTCAATGCAACCATAAATAATAGTTATTATGTGCTTACCTCTGGACATCTGTGACAAGACACCAAGCCCAGCCCCATCCTCCAACAATAAGTTTTCTTGAATTGCCCCCACAACATCCACCTGTAAGTAGAAAGATAAAAAGCTGTGTTTATATATATCGTTAGTGGTAAGGTATACAGGGACCGTATTGGGCTTTGCCAATGTCGTAATTGCAATTTTTTATTTCATCTGGCGACAAAATATGGCTGCTGGTGATATTTCTGTTGCCAACATTTTCTCATGTCAAAATTTTCATTTCTTGACTGTAAAGCTAATAATATTGATCCTCTTTTAATTGGTTAAAGTAAAAAAATAAATTGTACAAATTTTACCTGATGTCAAGTTTATGACTTTGCTTACAACCTCAAGCTAATAGTTGAACTGCCACATTTAAAAAAAAAATAAAGAATGAAAAAATGAAAAAGAAGAGAGAATAATGGGTGCTTAAATATAAGAATTTAACATTTTTAACAAAATACAAGTAAAACAATGTTTTCTAATAAGTTTATTATAATTTACGTCATGAAACTACGGTAAACGTTGCAATTTGTGTTGCCGTATGAACATTTCTTCAATTCGAAAATGACAAATGCCAACTGACCTATTCTATTTGAATGAATTAATGCTGATGATCATTAATGACACATCAGATTAGCGGATTACCTGCATCACAGATTACAACACCTGTTGTGACTGTTGATTAGTTTGGGGTCGTTAACAAAGTCATAAACTTGTCGCCACGTAAAATTTTGGAAAAATGACAATCGAGACTATATATTACTGTTGAGGTCAAGAAATGAAATTTTTGACATAGGAAAATGCAGACCTGCCAACTTCTGAAAATCCCCATGAGTGTGCAACAAGATTATTAAGAGTTACAATTTTTGTTGTGTTTTGTGTGCACTGTTTTTTACAATCTAGAAATAGTCTCATATCTCTTCATTTTTCTTTTGGTATACTGATGATGAGCTAATAAGCCTTGCTTTCTTTTATTTCTTGTACTTATTAATTGGCAAAATAAAATTTATAAGAGAGAAAAATGGCCTAAAAAATAAAGAATACAAAATGAAGACATCCCCCCCCCCCCTCCAAAGACCTTCTAATCTTTGAACCATGACTCAAAAGACCTAAACCTAAACGTCTTAAAGTTAGAGGGATGGAGACAGTTCTTGAGTTAGTCTATCAGTAATGAGAAAATGGCTAAAATTTGAGTTATCTTTCTTGGTATTCAGAGGTGCTCCTACTGGCAGAGGCTTATTAACAGTAGAAGGGAATACAATATGGCATCGATATTAAATCAGAACTGGACAGAAACACGTCTGATTTCAAAAAAATTAATGGATTTCGAGATAAACGATGTTTCATAATGAGTTGATTACAGTTTACGTCTTTCAGTTTAGTCATGAAAATTTCGGTAATTGTTGCAAATTGTGATCTTATGATAAATTGATTAAAATTGAAATGCCTACTGACCGATTCTATTAACAAATTAATTAATTTTGAGGATCATTATGACCCAATAAAGCAACGGATAAGCAGATTACATGTAACAACAAATTATGACACCTGTTGTGACCGATAATTAGCTGGGGTTGTAAACTTGTCATAAATATGTTGCCAGGTAAAATTACAGATTTATAGCAATTAATCAGAAAATCTTCAAAATCGGTAACCAACAATTTTTTGGGGTCGATTTTGACCTGTTTTATGTTCCCGATATTTGATTTCAGGTAGAGGCATGAAAATCGAGATACCACCAAAATCGGGACTGAAAATGTTGTCCCTGCTTTATAATGGTACAATCATTTTTCAGAGTGAATGGTGGTGGTTTTTCATGAAATGACTGTAGTGTCAGAGCACACCACAAGAACTAACTGTAAAATTCAGTTGAAAATGGCTTGACTCATTAGATTGGCACAAAGTCCAAAAAACAACTTACATAAATATACAAAGTAGCAAGTTGTCTTTTTCACTGCTCTATTAAAAATGTTAAAAATACGAATCCATGACAACTCGCCCCATTGGCAAATCGCCCCACTTTTTAAAAAATCGCCCCACTCTTGTTTACCAACTCGCCCCACTTATGAAAAAGGGTAAAATCCAGTTGAATATAGGTCTGACAACTCGCCCCACTTATAAATAAAATGCTTCGCTGGGGCGCAGCTTGATACGACCGCAGAGGTCAAACCCTGAACAATTGGGGCAAGTATGGACACAACATTCAAGCTTGATACAGCTCTGAATTTGGATTGTTATTAAATATTTGACACAGCATAGGTTTCTGACACAGAAAGAATGTGGTCTAAGAACTTGAATTTTATTAATTTACCTATTATGGTCCAATGTCCAAAATCAAAATACATGGTTAGATTCAGCATATCAAAGAACCCCATATATTCAATTTTTGTTAAAATCAAACAAAGTTTAATTTTGGACCCCAACTTGGACAAACTTGAAAACTGGGCCCATAATCAAAAATCTAAACACATGTTTAGATTCAGCATATCAAAGAACCCCAAGAATTCAATTTTTGCTAAAATCAAACTAAGTTTAATTTTGGACCCTTTGGACCTTAATCTTAATGTAGACCAATTTAAAAAACAGGACTTAAAATTAAAAATCTAAATACACGGTTAGATTTGGAATATCAAAGAACCCCAATAATTCAATTTTTGATGAAATCAAACAAAGTTTAATTTTGGACCCTTTTGACCTCAATATGAACCAATTTGATAGCGGGGCCCACAAATAAAAAATCTAAATTCATGGTTAGATTCAGCATATCAAAGAACCCCATATATTCAATTTTTGTTGAAATCAAAAAAAGTTTAATTTTGGACCCCAACTTGGACCAACATGAAAACTGGGCCCATAATCAAAAATCTAAACACATGTTAAGATTCAGCATATCAAAGAACCCCAAGAATTCAATTTTTGTTAAAATCAAACTAAGTTTAATTTTGGACCCTTTGGACCTCAATGAAGACCAATTTAAAAAACGGGACCCAAATTAAAAATCTAAAAACACGGTTAGATTTGGCTTATCAAAGAATCCCAATAATTCAATTTTTGATGAAATCAAACAAAGTTTAATTTTGGACCCTTTTGACCTCAATATGAACCAATTTGATAGCGGGGCCTACAAATAAAAAATCTAAATACATGGTTAGATTCAGCATATCAAAGAACCCCATATATTCATTTTTTGTTGAAATCAAACAAAGTTTAATTTTGGACCCTTTGGACCTTAATGTAGACCATTTAAAAAACAGGACTTAAAATTAAAAATCTAAATACACAGTTAGATTTGGAATATCAAAGAACCCTAATAATTCAATTTTTGATGAAATCAAACAAAGTTTAATTTTGGACCCTTTTGACCTCAATATGAACCAATTTGTTAGCGGGGCCCACAAATAAAAATCTAAATTCATGGTTAGATTCAGCATATCAAAGAACCCCATATATTCAATTTTTGTTGAAATCAAAAAAAGTTTAATTTTGGACCCCAACTTGGACCAACTTGAAAACTGGGCCCATAATCAAAAATCTAAACACATGTTTAGATTCAGCATATCAAAGAACCCCAAGAATTCAATTTTTGTTAAAATCAAACTAAGTTTAATTTTGGACCCTTTGGACCTCAATGAAGACCAATTTAAAAAACGGGACCCAAATTAAAAATTCGTAAGGGTTCCGCGGAACCCAGTGTCTCGCCTACTTTTGGTGCTAATCGCAGGCTCAACAAAAATGAGGAAAAAAATTAATAAAAATATTCCCCTCTATACTATGTTTTGATTGTAAGTAGCTTCTGTCCAAGTTTGGTAAAAATCCAGGATAATTTATGAATCTAATAAATGTTTTAAAAACTTAAACTGCAGAATGTATGTAATGTTGACTGGAAGAAAAACTAAGTCCATTTATAAGTAAAATACAGAAAAAATGGAACAAAATTTTATCAAAATTTCCTTCTAGATACTAGCTTTTGATCATAAACAAGCTTCTGTTCAAGTGTGGTACAAATCCAGGATAGTTTAAGAAAGTTGTTAAAATTTTAAAAACTTTAACCACAGAGTGAATGTAATGTTAACTGGCAGAAAAACTAAGTCCATTTATAAGTAAAATACGGAAAAATGGAATTTTTTTTTTACAAAATTTACTTCTGGATACTATCTTATGATCATAAACAAGCTTCTTTCCAAGTTTGGTATAAATCCAGGATAGTTTAAGAAAGTTATTAAAATTTCAAAAACTTTAACCACAGAGTGAATGTTATGTTTCCTGGCAGAAAAACTTAAGTCCATTTATAAGTAAAATACGGAAAAATGGATTTTTTTTTTACAAAATTTACTTCTGGATACTATCTTATGATCATAAACAAGCTTCTTTCCAAGTTTGGTAGAAATCTAGGATAGTTTAAGAAAGTTATTGAAATTTTAAAAACTTTAACCACAGAGTGAATGTAATGTTAACTGGCAGAAAAACTAAGTCCACTTACAAGTAAAATACGGAAAAAATGGAATTTTTTTTTTTACAAAATTTACTTTTGAATATAATCTTATGATCATAAACAAGCTTCTGTCCAAGTTTGGGAGAAATCCAGGATAGTTTAAGAAAGTTATTAAAATTTCAAAAACTTTAACCACAGAGTGAATATTTGTGGACGCCGCCGATGACGACGACGACGACGACGACGACGCCGACGGAATGTAGGATCGCTATGTCTCGCTTTTTCGACAAAAGTCGAAGGCTCGACAAAAATCTAAAAACATGGTTAGATTTGGCTTATCAAAGATCCCCAATAATTCAATTTTTGATGAAATCAAACAAAGTTTAATTTTGGACCCTTTTGACCTCAATATGAACCAATTTGATAGCGGGGCCTACAAATAAAAAATCTAAATACATGGTTAGATTCAGCATATCAAAGAACCTCATATATTCAATTTTTGTTGAAATCAAACAAAGTTTAATTTTGGACCCCAATTTGGACCAACTTGAAAACTGGGCCCATAATCAAAAATCTAAATACATGTTTAGATTCAGCATATCAAAGAACCCCATATATTCAATTTTTGTTG